GATGCAGTGAGCTGCAGTTTACAAAGTTTAAGTTTACAGTCACGAACAGTTACACAAGCCTGAGCGAACCGCGCAACTAGAGTGTAAAGGTGAAACATTAAAGACATATGAGAAAGAACCTTCATTCAGAAGATAGAGAAAGGCCTTTGTGTCACAACTTAAGATCAATCAAAAGAAAGATGTTGCGTCTGGCGAAAGATGTGGCCATGGAGTCTTCGAAACATGATGAGCTATATACCTTTCTGCGTCCCTCTTGTGTGAAAACACAACAGTTCCGCATCCGCTTTTGATCGAGCCGCCCACCACAGCATGGTTTCATCTCCCCTTCAAGCAAATCCAAGTTGCCAGACCAAATCAGTTGGTGTCCACCCTTTCGGAAGGGACACCGGAACTGGTCTCCGCTGAGGACCAAAGTGCCAATTCTAATGATGCACGGAGAGGCGGGTCTTCCGCGCTCGGAGTCCAACGACCGCATCCAGTAGCGAAGACCGAAATCAGATGCTATCGCGGATGGTCTTGAAGAGGCATTGCATGGTTCTTTTATGTTCTTTTAATCTGAGCCACTGTGCAAGATCTTCTCAAAGGCATCCCCTCCTTCTGTAGCTGACAAATTCATCTCTGTTGGAGGAGTCAACGTGTTTTCTGATCTCTCAAGAGTGGTCAATTTGAGGAGAACACCTTTCCGAAAAGGGATCTATATTTATATATGGGTGCTCGCTGATTATAGGGCCCCCCCCGGGGATACCATCAACACGAAAAAGTAGCAATGATCTGGAAACTATGCCCAATTCAAAAGCCATAAAACATCAGAAAGCCAACAAAAACAAACAGATCTGGAAATTGTGCTCAATCCAAAAGCCAGAAAACCTAAGAAACCGATGATTTGGAAATTATGCTCAATCCTAAAGGCAAAAAACCGAAAACTACGATGCTTTGGAAACTATGCTCAATCCTAAAGGCAGAAAACCAAAAACAACAAAATGATTTGGACACTATGTTCATCCTACAAAGGTTTGGACTAGTTTGGAAACCATATGTTTTTTGTTTGAGCCTCACATATGTTTGGACTAGTTTGGACACCATTGTTATTTGTTTGGTTTGAGCCTCACATATGTTGGGGTAGTTTCCAAATCATTGTTTTTTGTTTATTTTGGCTTGATAAGTAGTGTATAAACACAGTTTATAAACACAACACATGTTTATAAACAATGTCTTCTGATGCAGTTGCACCAATGTCATCTGCACGCAAACCTCCTCCCACGCACGCCTATGCTACGTCAATGGCATGCCGCGGGTAAAATGTATGGTCCTCCCGCATGGTGTTGGAGGAGAAAAATCGTGAAGCTTTAAGGGACTTCGTGGGGAATTTATACAAAATGGTACTCTTGTCACGGTATATTTCAAAAGCGGGTTATGAAGCGGCGCGCAAGAGAATCCCCCAAAACACCAGCTAGGCCCCAGCATGGGGCTTGTGGTGCGCTAAGTTCTTTTCCACCAGAGAGTGACAGCTATTCTTCCTTCAAGTATAGGAAGACGCGCCCGTGCGCGCTTTGGGGATTTGGCGCTGGTACCGTTGCAAGGAGCCGCTGCCAGATGTCTATGGCCAGTGTGCGCTCTGGAGCTTTGGGCGCTGATGCTTTTGCAGGGTGCTGCTGTAGGGTGCTGCGTCTACGCTGAATTCAGGGACAAAGCACCAGGGTGCTGCCCGCAAGTATCATTTGCTATGGGAGTCTATGCTAGCGTATTTGTTGGGATTCTGCTTTGGAGTATACAACAGAAGCTGTGACGTAAATAAGGCGAATAAGGCTCTATTTTGTTTGATGGGATTTATGAGAGTTTGCTTTGTCCATTTTCAAGAGCTTGGCTATTGAAGGCAAATCCTGGTACTGTAGATGTACACGGAATTGTTTGCCTCACAGTCCACGGTCCAAATGACCGAAGAGCGCCATGCTGACGCCGCATGAGCGCAAGAGGTTGAAGGATGCAGAGTGAGATGCGCACTACCAGGGAGGTTTAGGAGGTTCAGCAGCACGCGCTAGCCTCTTGCTGGGAAACGAGCAAGACCCCACACAGAAATCAAGGTATGATCATTGAGGTGTGATATGGAAAACATGAAGCGGTGTTTTGCTACTGTCAGTTTTCACTTGGCCCGCACAGCTCACATGACCTCGTTTCTGTACGTATCTCCTCTCCTAGGTGAGCTGCAGAATCCCGGCACAGCTTTGAAACAAATCAACACATTCTGTGTCCGAAGATTGCTTTTTATTGAGGAGTGGAGCGCTCATTCCTAACAAAGTTCTATCCAACAATCCCTCCATTTTCCACCACAATGATGCGCGCCCTGATGTTTGTTTGACGATAGAACTTTTAGAACAAAAAGGGCGTCATTACAAACTAAGTGGGTGCTTAAATATGCTTTGTTTTCAGATTTAAACATACTACAATACTATGTGCGGACATACACTCTTGTTAGGCTACTATACTTTTGAATCAACTATTCTTGAACTTTGGAAGCCAACTCTCATTGTTTAATACAAATATGTACAAATATTGTTCGTTCCAGTGTATATGTACTATACAAATACCGTTTTTCAGCAGTAAGTTGGCAGTTCTCTTATATGTATATAGATATGGATTGTTAAAGTCATCCTACCAGTCAACACAAAAAAGTTGTCATATATATATTTTCTTCAACAATGAAGCACAGTTTCCGGAAACACAGAAACACAAATACATTTGTCATCATTTGTCTTTATATTAGTGTGGTCGGAGTTACAAAACACAAAATAATCCCAGTGGATTCTTTGTTTTAGTTGACACACATTTAGAATAGAAAAGATGTTTTATATGTGATGACACTTTTAGCATCAATGAGTCTAGCTCAAAGTTAAAGAGACAGAACATAGAAAACGGTTTGTTGGTGTTTTTCAACAATGTAAGCATTTAAACTGTTGATATGACTTGTTGCAAATTTCAATATACATACATACATTTATTTATATCGTAAAATTGAATACCTAATGTCATTCTTGAGTCAAGGTGTGGCGTCTTAGCCAAACAGTTTGTGTTTGTTTTCTATCATCAACTTCTTAGTTTGAAACCACAGGCTTCGAAACCGTCCACCTTAAACCCTCCACCCACCTTATTATAGTTCAACACGCAAAGGCCCATAAAGTGAAAACACGGGTTTCAAAGGCATTTCTTTAGGGTTTGAGGTTTTTATTGTTAATTAAACGATTCGGTAAGGATAAGGGATCTTTATCTTAAGGTTTGCCAACGGGCTTTACCAGTATTTTTCTGCAACAACTTCTGCCAAGAAACCTTTTCACAAAAAACCAATCTAATTTCAAAGCTTGGCTTATTGTCAAGGATTCCTGGCCTTGTGACCGTTGAGGTTTCCAAATTTTCAAGTTTAGGGGCAAATTCTGCGTTGGCGCGCGGCACGCGACGTTTGCACCGCCTCACTGTGCCAGGCGGACCGCTTCATCCGCCCGCAGTGGGGCCGACAGACTGCGGAGCGCCTGAAGTCGCTGGGCGTGGCCACAGAGTTTGTGGAGATCCCTGGGCTGAGACATGAGATGAGTCGTAAGGACATGGATTTGGGCAGAGTGAGGAATGATGTGTTGAACCTACACCCTGCAAGGCCTGCAGGGTAGATGTGAAAGACAATCCTGAGACGGAAAGTATGTGATATTCCGAGTGAGGAATGGTGGAGAGGGTCTAGGAGAGAAGAACATGTCGGAGAGAGGAGTGAGTGAAAAAAACTGGACGGAGTGTGCCTGAATGTCGCGTAGCAAGAAGACCAAGGTGTGCATGCTGGATCGGTTGATGAGTTGGATCTAGTTGGAATAAGTGGCAGGTGCAAAGACCTGGAACAGCCCAGGAGGTTGCACTCAACCGGGTGACTGGTCTATATACCGTGCTACTTAATAGGAGACCTTTGCAAACCAGACTACATCCCACTCTCGTTTTGCATTCTGCTCATACCGTCAGGAGATTCAGCTCCTGCGCAGGTGGCTGTGGCAGGTGCTGCAGCTGGATTGATTGGAGAAAAGGTGCGATAGAGGTCCTCACCAAGTTCTGATCAGGGGACCTCTTAACCAAGTAAAGAACCCAATTTCGTATTAGGGGTTGCCATTTTTCGCAGTAGAGGGCGCCCTCAGTTCGACTCAAAAGTGGCATAGACGCTGAAAAGACCTACATTTCATGAGAAGGTCGGACACTGCCTTCAGGCCTTTGGAAGCATTGGTCAAAAGAGATAGGTGGCACACCCCCCCCAAAAGGGGTGGTCGAGATGGATCGTCATTTGCCAATGTTTTGGGAGGGTATGCCATATTTTTCTTTTCTCCAGAATGTCCAGTTGCCGTTTGAAGTCTGCGAACAAATTCACAGCGCACCATAGACGGCCGCAAAGCGGCCGACGTCCCTAGCCACTTCCGCTGATCAAGACCTCCGTCAGTGGCTCGAGAGCCACTCACTCCGTCTCCCGAACCTGGGCAATCCAAGCCAAGCTCTTTTCACAGCAGCCAAACCGCTCATCCACCGCATTCCTAGCATGAAGCTTGACAGGAAGGTGAGGACATTCCCAGACCACATGATGGAAGGAGGCGCAAGAGACAAGCACCCTGGATCCAGATGATCTGCCTCAGCCCGAGACAAAGCCGCCGGCGAGAGCAACCTGAAGAAGCAACCTGAAGCCACCCTTGCCCGGTGACGATGGCCAAGACATGCGGAATCAACAACGCTGCAGACGCTACAGTTACATGGACACAGCGCTAGAAGTGCGCGACCGTCGTGAAGTCCCTGAAGTGGTTTCTCAGCGCAATTGGGCTTAGAGCCCAACTAATTGGCCCAGCCTTCAGACATTCTGATTGACATTGATTTTGCTATCATCCGAAGTATGGCACCTCAATGACTTCATCCAATGAACCCACGGCTTTTTCAGCTGTGGTGATCCCTGTGGTGATTCCCCCCGACCTGACCAGACCGTCCTCCACCAGGACCAAAAGGCGTCGAGGAATAGAAGGCGCTGAGGCCGAGCAACGGGGGAACCGCTCATCGCTTTTTGGTCGGGCCAGAGGTTGATTCAGATGACCTAGGCTATTGGGTGTAGCTCGGTGTTTGAAACGATGAACAAATCACCATTCGGTGTTTCTAGGACGGAGACCTTGTAAGGAGTCTTTGATTGTAGAAGGCGGTTAGGTAGTGACCGGCACTGTAGCACGCTGCGGAAGAGAAGCTGTTTGCTTACATGAATCAAGAGACTTCAACCTATCAGCACCGGGCGGGTTTGAGTTTTTGTACACGCACATGAGTGCAAAACCTGCGTGGATCGAATGATATCGGCTTAGATTCTATGTAGAGACTGCAGGCGTTTTGCTTTGTTTGCCAATTCAGACATCATACGATCAGTAAAAAAACAATAGGTGCTTGCAATAGCGCAGACATCCTGCCCAGCTTCCTACAGACATCCTTCTTTGACAACTCAGTCTTCAAACACATCTTGCTCTGCGGACTGTTGTTCACAGTAACGGCAACCAAATGGTGATTCCTACGGGCCCTCCTCAGTGGTTCTGTGTCTCCGATTGCACGCACGGCCTCGTTTGGTGCCATGCCGAGCAAGAGCTTGGAGATGCAGGTGGGCGCGTCGCACGACCGCGCGACGCCGGTGACCCGAGCGGTCAGTTTCGGTCCGGTGACGTCGTCGGGGAGAGCATCCGCCTTTTTGGGGATTAGGCCGAGAGCGGAGGAATGGATGGAGGTTCGTCTTTGCACTGGAGGAACTTGATCGACTCTGAAAAACCTCGAAACAAATGGATTCTGAGACCTCCTTGTCCATTCGAAGAGAGATGTGAGCAAAATGCCCAGATTCTTGTTGCCACTCAACCCATTGGTTAGAGAAACCATCGAAGTCACAGGGTTCGCATTCAACATCATCCACATGGCTTTGAGAAGAGAATCCCACATCCAGTCTCCCAAAAGGCTTGTTCAGGAACTGTGACTGTCCATCGTGCATCACTGGTGAAGGATCTCCAAACTTTCGTTGTGGACCGGAGATCTCCCGCCGCGATTCTTTGAGGCAGATGATGGCTTCGGCTTCGGCAAATTGGTCTTTCCAAGAAGCCATACCGTAACCGTTGTTGCTTTCACCAGTTGAAACTGTTCTGACCTGTTCTCCAGTTTCAGCAAACAGATGGTCTACTGAGATTTGGTCGAGTCTTGGCACACCGTGCCTGCCGTCAGGTGCTCAAGCGGGGCCGCCAGAGGAAGCGCCAAGTTGACCTGGCGGAGGATGCCACCGTGCAGGACGACCATTTCAACGTGAAAAACCCGACCATCTGGGAGGCAAAGGTGTTTTGAGGTGATTTGGCGGGTGGAAGGGGCTCGCACGAGATTCTGAGCTGTGAATGGCGTGTTTTTCTTCTCGGCGCTGAGGCACAGGACATCTCCAGCTATCCGTCTTGACTTTTGACATAGGACACCAAAACCATTTCAACTCCAAGAAACTGGTGGTGGGAGGGGTCTCCCTATCACTCTGAGCAGCTCAGAGTGAAGGTCGGACGCCTCGGGTTTCACGCCGCTTCGCAGCTCGGTGGTTGGTTTCGCCGTGGCGCGGCGACCCGCGGCTCGCGGCGGTCAGGACATTCTAGCGAAGTTGGCCCAATTGCGCCTCGGAGACTGGGAGAGGACGACGAATGCGAGCGATGTGTCGGTTCGACCTCCAATGTCGGTTCGAAGGTTCGCGGTTTTTGCTGGTTTTAGTTGGTGGGAGTAGAAGGAGGTTGAGGATGAGGATGAGGAGACATTCATACCATAGATTCCATTGATCCTTGAATGTAGAGGCGTCATGGAAAGAAAATTCGACTTTATAGTGCATTAAGATCATTTTAAAGCATATTATCACAGATTCATCGTGGTTTCAGACTGGATGGCACACGCACCCCAAGATGTCTTTCTGGATGGGGGGTCCATATATAAAGCCTTGTGCTACTCTGAAACCACTCTGAGAACCACTCTGAAATGCTTTCTTCACCGCTTTCCTCCTCCGGTTTGCCGGGCGCACCGTCTCCACCGGTCTCCACCGAGGTCCGGCGCACCACGCTCCGGGCTCTTCGTGGCGGAGCACCGGAACGCCGCCAAGGTCCGGCTCTTCGCCGGCGAGGCGGGGCTGAGAGAGGACGAAGAGGAGAGGACCGGCAGATCCATTGGTTTCAGATATTGACATATATTATATTATATGTTGACCTATTGAGGACCTGTAATAATAAGTATTAGTATTTACCTATATAAAATAGTATTCTATACCATTTCAGTTGTACATTGTACTGAAGGGCTCTGTTTGTTTTCCACCCGCCCTGAAGATCCTGTAAGGGCCGACGGGCGACTGGGACCAGGACCCTCTCCCCAGCGGCCCAGCCCCAGCTGGGCTGGGTGGGTGAGGGCTCGCCACCGGTTGAAGTCGGTCCACGACGCCGGGTCCGCCATAGCTGGCGAAATGGTAAAAACCATCCAACTGAAAGGGACACCCTGGTGATGGGCTGATATTCTCTACAGGACTCGATGATTCCTAGGGGGCATCATGTAGATACAGGTGAAGGATGTATTGGTGATGTTTGATGGCCATGTTACTTGTCCAAATATATCATATTCCATTCCTCCTCAGTCCTGAAACAGGTTCCTGAACACCACCCCCAAAATCGTTCGCTTGGCAAGAGGTCTTGAACCCCTACCAACATGATAGGACTCCACTTTTGCTGTTCTCTTGAAGACAGTAGAATGTAGATGATGTCTATCTCGACTGGGTTTCGGTTCATCGGTGCAGGAACTCATGCTAAGCAAATGAGCAAGTGTATATGCATACGGTGTTGCTGTTGGTCCAAACTATACTAATGAAATCTAATGATCCTGAGAGAACCCTGTCTAGACATATCTAGAAGAAGAGCATCCGCCGGTCGGTCCGTTCGATGCACGACCGACCGAAGCGGGCCGAGCGGAGCCGAGCGCGAGCTCCGCGGAGGCGCCGGTGGGGAACTTTGAAGTGGGTGGCTTGGAGTCCGTGGAGGCCGAGATCGGTCGGGAGATCGGCCGTGAAGGCAGTGGAAGTCGTTGTGATTCACATTCGATGATTGGATGATGGTTGGAGTCGTTGCATCAAAGACATGACTGTGACATCACTGTAAAGTCTTGGCTGATTCAGCAGCAGATTTCTGAAACACAGATTTATGACATATTCTCAAAGCATAACGCATAGTAAAACAGTAGATTAATAAGAACACACAAAACATAGTCAAACGATGTCAAACGCACATAGATTTTAAGCAATAAATACATATGATAATAGGTGACAAAAGAATTAGGACAAAAAACACTAATATAGTGGGAGGGGGGGTAGAATGAGTGGTAGAATGTTATTAGCTAGAAGTCTATGGAGCTGAGCTGTTGGAAGAAACGTGGATTCCAAAAAAATCAAAATATAACATATATAACTTATAACTACCATTGTTCTCGGATTCGACGTGGCAGTCTGTGCAACAGTCGGTGGCCACGAGTCCGCACGTTTTCCACGGAGCTCCGCCGCGTACGAAAGCTCCCTCGGTCTGGGCTGGCGAACGGTGTTTGCTCCGTTTGATGGTTTAGCCATGTTTAGCCAGAACGCTTGCATGCGTTTTTTGTTTTCGGCGGGTTCGAAGCAATTTGCACTTTGCGTAAGTTCACTTTGCCTCAAAATGAATGGGAATCAGTAGGGAATGCCTGATAGTAGTGGAAGAGGAAGATTGCCAACTGGACTCCCACATCTCACTCTTAGCTCCCGACATCCTGTCGAACCCCGGCCACGAATTGCCACCGACCGAACGCCAACCGCAGGAATTGCCGGAGGTGATCCACGTTCAGCCGCTGGGCGCTGGGCGCTAGACCGTCCGCCGGTGAAGACCATCACATGCCCCCCAAAAGGTCTGGAGCGCTGAGGAGCTGGCTTACCCCATGGCACTGCGAAGGATCTGTCACTTCGTATTCGGGGTTGTGAGAGGTCAAACACTAGCTGCTTGGAAACGCGATATCGAATGTCCCCCCCCTTCTTTGGGGTTAGCAATCAGTGGGACACGACCTTGTTCACACGTGACCTTTCAACTCTCTTGCCTAAAGATTGTTTTTCTTTGATTCTAAAATAATATCCATCGTTTTGGTCGCACCTGTGCCAGTTTTGCAAGAATCCTCCAGCAGAGATTTCTGGTTTAACTTATGTTTGCATGTTTGACCCATGGATCGAGCGAGGCGGCAGAAGGTGAGCATGCAAGAGAGTGAAGCTTTGGAGCTGCTTGGTGAAGTATGGTCAGGCCGACATTTAGAAGTTTAGATGGAAGAGTTGGTCTTCACTTCCAGTGAAATCATGGAATTTCATTACTGGTGTTTTGGGGCACATCAGCACGTCCAAGGAGCTGCAGGATTTCTTACTGCAAAAAGTCATCCAAGTTTTGTCCTACTGGTTGATTCTCGGGGTCACCAGGGCTTCTGCAGACTGGTCAAATACTTAAAGAACTGCACCTGGCTTTTCGGGAGAGCCAGAGCGATGCTTTGGCGCCTTGGACAGGGAGAGATGCCCCGGTCGCTCCGTGCAGGAGTCTTCTTAATTTCCGTGGCGACACAGTTTTGACCACCATCTACTACCATCGAAATGGTCGTCGATGCGGTGGGGTTCCAAGAAGCGAAACAGCAAGCAGCTGGTTGGTTCAGCTGTGAGGCTGTTGGACGAACTGCTGGCCCTTTATAACCAGGTGGGTCACGTGCGCGTGAGTTGCTTGGAGCGTAGCGGCGTAGCCTAGCTGCGTGGGGCTGCTAGCTGTATGGTATGGTAGATGCAGGAGAGATGACGGAGACATTGTCAACAGTTGAATTCCATATATATAGTGATATGATATTCAGATGATTTCATCTCTGACATCAGATATATTTGGTGACTGGTGCAAACAGCAAAGCATCAGCATAATTACTATCGATCATGACCTCCTACAATGGACAACATTCACTAACTACTTGGGACGATGGGTCCCGCGTGTTCTTGTGGGTTCAAGTTGGTGCACGATCTCTTCACCAACAGTACGGCTCTACGGAGCAAAGGGCCTTTACCACCAGACGCCGCTACGGTAGAGGGTCACGGTCCAAGATATCGATAGAAACCTTGGCACGGAGAGTGGCCGCCCTTTAAATAGGAGTCAAGCAATCCAAAGAGTCGAGTTGTGATAGGAAGGGAGCTGAGACTTTCCACCTCCTTCACCTGGTAGCTAGTGCACTAATGGACCCTTGTGTTAATGCCTTGGGGCACGCTTCTGCAAAAACATGCAGTAACCATTCATGCATTTTCCTGGTTTTTGTGTGGTTTGGGAACCAGTGTCGATCAATGCAGACCCAAACAAGTTCCACCTTTTTATATAATGCATGAGTTTTGAATGAGATTGAAGCATAAGTTTTGACATCAACGCTTCACGAATCATGGCAGACCAGACAAAAGTTATATACATTTATTGTTTTCATACACAATCATGACATTCACTCACAGCCGGCTGAGGAGGTTTGCCAAGGCTTGATCTAAGTAGCTTTGGAAATGACAATATATATATATATAATGTACAATCATCCTGGAGTACATAGAATGGACAAATTTTTCAAAAAACAATTCACTCCTCAAAACCGGCCCTTCCAAACCCCATACAGTATATAGATAGAATATGGTTGTATGGGCTTCTCTTCCTTTTCCTTTGTTGTCCTTTTCCTTCTCTGTTCGTTCTATTTTCTGTTCGTTCTTAAGAAAAGTCAAGGAAAGCTTAGATAATACACATAGGAACAGAACATGAAAATAACAAAGGAGCAAATACTGGAATGGGAGGAGTTGATAAGAATCTTATCACTACATTCTATCTATAGGGTCAGTCTTCATACAATGAAAGGGATGTCAAAAACCCTGAGTTTTTTCAAACAGAAAAACACCCCCTACGAAAGTAGATTCTATCTACTCCAGGATGATTATATATGTTTAGGTGATCGACAGAATCACCGCTCGAAGTCTTAAAGCCACACACCCTCAGGATTTAATGTTCTCAACCAACAAGGGAGATTGATCACGGTTAATAGCTAAGCGTGTCCAACGATTTGCATGCCAAGAGCCAAGATCCGTTTGTACTTCACCTTGCATTGTTTGCTGCTGCAGGGTACACCTGTTTGACGTGCCTGACTGGAAGTCTGAACTGGATACGCTGTATTTCAACCAACCTTTGGTCCGCCGAAACCATAGCAGCCCTGGGAGGGGTCGGGCATGTACATGTTTTTCCTCGACCAAGTGACCAAGTGCTTACAATGCGAGGGAGAGCTAAGCATTGTGTGTTCGTTTACGCCATCTGGCGAGTGGCCGGTCACGAAACCCGTTTGGTTCCGTGCTTCAACGATGGGTTGCTTCAAGGCGGACATCCAACAGAAAGTGAAGGAACTTCAACAGCTCCTCGGCATTGACCGATGGGGCATGTCCAACAGCTTCAATTCACTTCAACATGACCACAGACCAGCAGATGGGACTTGGACAGTTTTTTCAACGTCATCGTTTTTTTTTTCAGTACACTGCGCACCCTTTGAGGCACCTTGCCATCATAACTGACAACCAACATCAACCAAATCAACCAACAACTTGTGTGTTTCTTTAGTCAGTTTATCGTTGGCTTCCTGTTGATGATTTAACAGGCCATAACGGAGAGAAGTTGCTTGGCTTGCCTGCACTTCCCGTGGATGAAGCAGGGCCCAAATTGTGCAGTTTGAATCGCCCAGTGATCCAGCGTCGAAAGACCAGGAACATCCAGGAACCCTCCAGGATGGAAGAGAGATACAGCGGGACAAAGTGAAGAATGGGTCCAGTCCGGTGCAGTGATTCCAGTCAGCTTTGCCTTCGCTCCCCGCCACGATCGCTACCAGACGAGGCTCTTTCTGACCGAAAACCGCGATCGGCGCCACTATGGTTTGCGGGTGGCCGCCCAGCATGAGATTACGTGGAAGGTACAAACACTTGCACAAAGCGCTTGATGCATTTTCCATCTCAAGGCTTTTGCTCCAGATTGGATTTAATCATTGTCATCATCGTCATCATCTAGTACTACTACTACTGCTGCTGCTGCTGCTGCTGCTCCTACTACTACTATTACTACTATTACTACTACTACTACTAATACTACTACTACTACTACTACTACTACTACTACCTACTACCTACTACCTACTACCTACTACCTACTACCTACT